AAGGTGGATTTAAAAAGTATGTTTGTATTCCCCCATTTTCGCCCCCTGACCCCTGCGCGCGCTCAGCGGGCCACGGTAAAATTATCAAAGGCTGACTGGTCCGCGGCGATAAAAAGGTTGGGGACGACTGGTCTAAATTATTTTAAAATCAGAAAAGCTACAGTAAGAGCATTCTACAGCACTCACACTGGGCTCAATGATGCCATGGTGTTTTTATAATAGCCAGTTTACCAAAGAACAACAAAATCAAGATCATATCATGTTTTATTTGCCAGGACTGTTCCCTAAGAAAATCTACCATACTTCCAGATCAGATAGGATAGGGGCATCCTACTTCCCTCCCAAAAATATACCTTCTTTTTGGAGTATAAGACACACTTCCCCCCCCCCCAAAAAAAGAGGGTGGAAATGTTGGTGCGCCTTATACACTGAATATGGGCATTTTTGTCCTCCGAAACCCCACCTCCTCCGTCCCGTTTTCGCCAAAACCTGGCCTGTTTTTCACAAAAATGGGATGCATAGAGGGTTTGGGAGGCCTGCAGAGTGCTCCTGGGGGCCAGGGAGGGCAAAAACTGCTTTTTTTTTCTTGGTGCATCTTATGCTCTGGTGCGTCTTATAGTCCAAAAATATGGTAGACATCTGATAAGAACTAGGAAGCATGCTTTCTCCATAGCAGCCCCAGTCGTATGGAACACTCTGCCCCCCCCCCCAGTTCAGCAGGCCTCCACCCCTTTAGTTTTCTATAAGGCTTTGAAGATCTGGCTTTGCCCCCAAAAGCTGAGAGATTAGATAATCACACAGTAGAAGTCTGATCTGGCACCAGGTTTTTGTTTTTAATGGGCGGCCATATGTTTTAAATAAATAAATGTTTACTTGAAATAAATCCCTCCATAGAAAATTATCCGTATGCATAAACCACATATCATACAATCAAAATTAGAAGGATAATCTTGGTTACCTGTGAAGATTTTCTAAGGAAAATCGCTGAGTTGAAAATCTCAGATAACTTTCTTTGTAGAACCATATAGTCAATGGGTTCCAGTCCGTTACAAGAAACCACTGCCTAATATCAAATTTTGTATCATAAATGAGGAGTGGTTTCTCTATATACTTTTGGACAACCCACTTATGATCTTTAATTGGAAATTGATCAGTTGGTTCAACTAGTTTCAATATTTCATCCAGTCGATTTTTGCATACTATTTCTGGAGAAAAAGATGAGAGAATTATCCTTTGGGCCTCAGGATACCCCAGAATGGATAACACTATTGCATATTATTCACAAACATTGTGCTGCCTGATCACTGCTACCTGATGCTTTCAATCAAAAGTTTAACTAATACTACAATTGTGTTGCTCTTTGTCAAACCTGAAATGGCAAAATCCTGTATGCATGTGTTTAATTAGGTCTAAATTTTGACACAACAGCATTGACTTTTTTTGTTGGGATTTTGATGTTGGCTGATCTCGGTTTCTTCTTTGAAGGTTTCATTATCGAAGTAGGTAGCATTATCAGTGTTACATTACTTTATTTGGTAATTTCTCATTGGTTTCACAACTTCTTGATTTTAAGGTATAATAGCAATACATAGTGGCCCAAAAGCTTAGGGTTTTTTATAATGGAGTGTGTGATCTATTGCTTAGATTTAATAGTAATTGAGAAAAGGATAAACCTAAAAGCAATGCATCTTTTTCTAGAAAATGAATTACTTTTTGACAAGAAAAAATAATTATTTCAAAGAGAGGGGAATGTTTAAAAAGGTAAAGGTTCCCCCACACATATGTGCTAGTCGTTTCCAGCTCTAGGGGCAGAGCTCTCTCCATTTCTAAGCTGAAAAGCCAGCGCTGTCTGAAGACGTCTCCGTGGTCATGTGGCCAGCATGACTAAATGCCGAAGGAGCACAGAGCGCTATTACCATCCCACCAAAGTGGTCCCTATTTTTCTACTTGCATTTTTATGTGCTTTTGAACTGCTAGGTTGCCAGAAGCTGGGACAAGTAATGGGAGCTCATTCTATTACGCGGTGCTAGGGATTCGAACTGCAGAACTGCCATCCTTCTGATCGAGAAACTCAGGGTCTTAGCCCCTGAGCAGACTTCTGTAAAACTATCATCTCTCTGTACAAATTTTTTTTTAAATTAGATACAGGTTAATCATCTTTTCTAATCTAGACCATAATGAGAGATAATTGGCCTTCTCTAATAGATTCTCTGCTGAAAAAATATAACTGCATTTGTAAACAAAAAAACAAAAAACGTAACCCATAATCCTACCTCTGCCACGGGATTTTGCTCCAGGCTTAATGATCCAGATGTTATGAAGACCATCAATCTCTTGCTGTGGATTAAGTAGCCTAATTTTGTGCAAAATATTTTGACACTGAATAAAATAACGGTCTGCATTACAAATAACTGCCCCTTCACTGGAAAAAAAGCAAGAAAATTAAACCAACCTTGTAATAAATTTGTATTCAAAATTATTACAGTTACAAATTATTTGGAGTAGAGCATGACATTTTAAGGAATAAGTTAGGAAATTAGGATATAACTTCAGTTCAAGGATCCCTTTAGGAAAACAAGTAGATTCAATATAGCTCTGATACACACCAAAATTGTTTTTTTATTATTATTTTATTTCAATATAAACAATCCATCTTCCATTAAACAGTGTGTCATCTGGGTACAAATATTTTGTGCAAACAATTAAAATTACAATCATATTCATTATGTCATCTATTCCTAGCTTAATACCAATTCACATCAAAATTGTTGATCCCCCATATTTCGGGGGGGGGGGGTAGTGGGCAATTTTGAAAGGTTCTTATGAAAGTCTACCATGGAAAGACAGGAGGTTTCATTTTTCACAAATTTATTGTACTGGAAACTTGACAAGTTAATGAAGTCCCTTCTTAACAGTCCTTCATACCTTCCCTAAGATCAGTTCTAGTTTTTTTATATATTCTTTATTTACAATACTTTATACATTGATACACAAATATACACACAGAGAGAAAATTCATAGTGTGAAACCATTTTTAATGGAGTCCTTGGTGCTTTCCAAATACTTTTTTTGTAGACATTTTATTACCCAACCAGCATGGTAATCGGCACTGATGATGTTACCTAGTCAAGTAATGAAATGCCTGCAAGCAAACAATTAAGTTCAGAGAGTATCAAGACTTCAGAGTCCAACCCTGAGCTACATATATTCTCTTCTACTGAAAACATTTTTCCTCAACTGACTGGAAACATGATGCATGATACTTAGAAGTTTATTTTCTTTTGAAAACCCTCAGCTAGCTAAGCAAATCTTACTAGATGAAGGAGATAAAAATTTTGCTGGGTGTTGACTAGCAATCTCTTACATATTGCACAAGGTAACACTTAACCTATAAGGAAGTAAAATACTCCAGCCCAAAGAGCACTTGAGGTGACATAACATGAAAACCCACCTGGAGGCTGAATTTGCAATTGGAAGCAGGTGAATAAAAGCTGACATCTATTTCTGTCCTTCCTAAAACAATTGTTTCCTGTTCTCGAGGAGCTGCCCGATATGCTACATAGTATGGGAAGATGCTAACGCTAAATGAAAATTTTATTGATGGTGGGCAATGAAAACAATGCAAATAAGCCCCTTGCTGATTTTTCCTCTCACCCTTTCCACCAGGACAAGGAAAATAACTAAGAAGAGCAGCAAGCACTTTCCTTTACTGACTTCATGTTTTGCTTCACTAGTTTTGCAAAACTAGTGTTTTGCAAGTGACATGCATGCTCTTAGTGAAACATTTGTCATATGCTCAGAAATATCTTTGTCAATAGGTATATGCATTTTTTTTACAAGAGAATATATATTTTTGCCTTTGAGCCACAGGTTTACCTATAGAGAAATATAACCAATTAATCCAACAAAAACAATATGATGAAAATCCTACAGTATTACATTCTGCATGTATCAAATTATAGTTTCCTCCAAAAAAAGAGGCCCATAAAATTAAGCATCAACATAAACATGAAGCTGATAGTAATTTTCAGTTAACAGACATGGAAGTCAACACTTACTGAATGAGAGAATAGTAACGGTCAATGAACTGATTCCATTCTGTTTCTGAAAGTACTGGAACATTATCTGTCTCTGAATCAATGTCTTCGTTTTCAAATTGTTCAAGATAGGTTTCACATACTTTGCATGCCATTTCTACAAGTTCTCCGGGAAGCTCCTTAACTTTCTTTACCTCATAATCTAGGAAATTGAGGCAAAATGCTTATCAGTGATGGCATGCGGTATGCCATTCAATCTACAGTATATCACAGAAGTGAGCACACCCTCTCGCATTTTGTAAATGTATTTGTTGCCAGCAGTTTAGACATTAATGCCTGCGTGTTGCGCTATTTTGAGGGGACAGCACATTTATATATACAAGCTGTATACCAGGGGTGAAATTCAGCAGATTCTGAAAGGTTCTGGAAAACCAGTAGCAGAAATTTTGAGTAGTTTGGAGAATCATCAAATACCACCTCTGGCTTGCCCCAGAGTGGGGAAGGAATGGGGATTCTGCAGTATCCTTCCCCTGCCATGCCCACCAAACCACGCCCACAGTACCGGGAGTAAAAAATAAATAAAATTTCACCACTGCTATATATTCTATCTCCCCTCAAGGCTTTTTTGTAAGGCCCCTGTGATTTGGATATATAACATTTATGCAGTCCAAAATTTACGAGGAAATAGGTTTTGTAGATTTCAT